TGTGAAAAGGTGAGAAACTGCTCAAAGGGGAAAAATAACTGGGAAAGGTAAAAGAGAAAAGAAGGGAAAAAGAAAATGATAAATTTGTGTGTGTGTGTGTGTGTGTGTGTGTGTATATGTGTGTATATATATATATATATATATATATATATATATATATAATGTAGCTAAGATGACCATACTAATTCTATTAGTTCTTGGAACAGTTAACATTCATACGATTAGATCAATATGATTAGATCATATGATTAGATCAATTTGCAAGTCTATATCTGATAATCCAAGCATCTCTTTTGAGGATAACAATATACAGCATGACAACCATTGTTAAAGTCTCATCTTGTTTTGAAAGCCTATATTGTTATTGTTTTAGGTTTTTCTGTCATTGTTTGTCTCTTTTGCTTTTTTTCTTTTCTGTTTTATTTTTTGTCATTTAAATAAAATTAAAAATAATAAAATGGGTTTACTAATATCTTTACAACAGTTAACTGCTTTGGTGGTAATTTAACATGCCAAAAATGAAGAGCCTTAAGTGTAAACATATGTAGCACAGTGACATACTAGTTAACTTCTGCACTCCAAAATCATTAGGCAACATTTCCTGTAAAACTACTCTGCCCTTTACTAATTGCAAAATGAGTGGTTCTTTCATTTTTTGACTTACTGACTTATTAGAGAGTATTTTATTTAAGTCTACAGAGAGAGAAAAGCCTTTTCAAGAGTATTTTGGGGGTATTAAGGATTAACCCAGCGCCTTGTGCATGCTAGGAAAGTGCTTTACCGCTGAGCTACATCTGCAGTGAGACCTTTTTTAGTATCAGAAAGTAATGCTTTTTCCTCCTTTGATATTTGTTTTCTTTAAACATTAATAATCAGAAATTGATTTTATACAGTTTCCTTATACTGATGTCCTTCAGCATGCCAGACACTGTAAGAGTTTTTGATTAATCCAGTACTTTATTGTCCTCAAAACATCCCTGTAAAATAGGCATTTTTCTCTGTTTGGCAGAGGAGAAAACAATTTAGAGAGGTGAAGTGGCTGTTGTCCCCTCTTGCTTGAGTACAGCTGGAAATGCTGGAACAGACATTCACTGACACCAATGTCCATGCCCCCAACACACATATTATAATAGAATTTTTAATCTAGAGAATGTTGATAGGTTTTCCCATAAAGAGACAATCTAGGTTTCCAGAAAAGAAGAAATAGGTTATCATCTCTATTAAGCTTAAAGAGTCTCAAATAAACCATTTAAACAACATGTTTATCAGAGGCCAATATGTTTTTGGACATAAAAAGCATAATTCAATTCAAAGATGCCCAGAGGCTCTGTTATCAGCTACCACTTTCATTTTACAAGGGCCTGGGATATCCTAATTATTACTGGGTATGCACACAGAAAGTTTTTAAATCTCTCTTTGCCCCATTCTGCCTAGTGGCCCTATCACCATGTTCGTTATTTCTCTAGGAAAATGGATACGCAGTGCTAAACAACCATATTAGTCATAGTTTTTCAGAGAAACAGAATCAATAGAATATGTACAAAATATGAGACTGTTTATTATGGACATGGGCTCATGTAATCACGGAGGCTGAGAAGTTACAGTATGCTGTCTCAAAGCTGGAGATCCAGGAAAGTCTGCAGGTAGGTCAGTTAGAGTCTTAAAAGTCTAAAGGTAGGAGCAAAGAAATGTCCCAGGTCAAGGAGAAAGAGAAAGTTCACCCTTCCTCTACCTTTATGTTCTATTTAGGTCCTCAACACATTGAATGATACCAACTCACAATGGTGAGGTTGGATCTTCTTTACTCAGTCTCCTAATTCAAGCACTTAATTTCTTTCTGGAACAACCTAAGAGACACATTCACATATAATGTTCTTCCAGCTACCTGGGTCTCAAGTTAATACATAAAATTAACCATTGTAACAACTAACTTTAAGACTTCAGGAACACAAAGTACTTTTAAGTTGAGAGTATGTCTCATAATATTCATTATGAGAGATGATGTAATTCTTGAAGTAGCATCATCTAAGAGCCAGATATTGCCTATATATAAAAACATGAAAAAGAACCAAACTCTACTTCATTGTCTATTATCTGTTGTAGCTGTAGCATCAGAAGGTGTTTGATAAAAATTGGCAAGTACTAAGAGCACAGCCTGGTAATTCTAATCACCTGTCTTCCAATATGACCACACACCTGATTGTTGATAGATGTTAGTACTAACCAGCTTCTATCAAAATAACATTTGCTATGGTCTCAAAATGTGTGTCCCCTCCTCACAAATTTGTATGTTCAAACATTGTCATCAATGTATGAGGAGATAGGATCTTTGGGAGGTGAGTGTGCTATGAGATTTTCACAAGTATGACAAGTGCCCATAAAAAGGACACTAATGAGCAGACACTTTAGCTAGAAGGTACCATGTATGACCCAGAAAGCAGGACCTTACCAGACACAGAATTTGTAGATGCCTTGGTTTTGGGGCTACTCGGACTCCAGAAATATGAGAAATTGTGGGGAGCAGCTAAAAGCTAGAGATCAACCTCATGTGCAGTGCTAATACAAGGCCAACCCCAAGTACAGGGAGCACCTGAGGCAAGCCAGGTAAGCAAGCTGTTCTAGCTCCTAGGAAGAGTCCTCCAAGCAAGCCAGGCAAACAAGTTGCAGAGGGGTTGAAATTGACATCAACCTCCCAGTTAAGCTGCTCCGGTCCTTGGGCAGTTCCTCTTCTCCCATCAGGAAAGGGTGTTCTACCTACCTGACCTCAGCTTTCTACATTCTTTTTTTTGTCTTTTTCGTTTTTTATCGGTACCAGGGATCGAACTCACGACCGCACACTTGCAAGGAAGGCACTTATGCCGCTGAGCTAAATCCCCAGCCCCAGCTTTCTAAATTCTTCTTCATATTTGTTTTTGGTACCAGAAATCAAATTCAGCACCTTGTGCTTGCCAAGCAGGCATTGTGCCGCTGAGCTACATCCCTGGCCTCCTTTCTGGCTTCATTTCATCCTCTGTTGTCCTCCTGGGAATTTCGAGAGCTGCGCTGGATGTGGCAAGAAATATTTGTTGTTTATAAACTGTTTAGTGTAAGGCCTTTTGTTACGGCAACCCAAACTTTTTTAAAAAAAGACTATGTAATTGAAATGAGTAATTAATTCACATGGTCTTGACAAGAGAGTATCAAAATAGGACATTTCAAAATTCTTTTTGACAGAAGGAAAAACGTTGTGGCTGACAGACTATATTTTCCTTAAATGATTACATCATCTCTTATTCCACATGCTTTTCTTACAAGGTGACTTTAACATTTCTCAGTTGAGAGCTGTGGTCCAGGTCCTTTTTCATTAACACAGTGGTTTGGTGACTGCTTCAACGAATAGAGAAGAGAATATAACTGATGCTGTGTAACTTCTGAGAACAGGTTATAAAAACGGATGCAACTTCTGCTTTGTCCTCTGCCTGCTGTCAGTCTTGGAATGCACCCTTATGGTACACAGCTGCCAGGTTGTGACAAACCCAATCAGCCACTTAAGAGATATTTTTGCTGACAATTCCAGTTGAGTTCCCACAAACTGCCAGCTGTGTGAAGAAACAGCCTTCAGATTTCAAACCCAGGGAGTTAATCTGAGAATGTATGCTGTGGCACTGGTCTGTTATACAGTGGGAAATGATAGATTTGACAACATATATTTAGATCATGTTCAATCTTCTGCATCACCTATCTTCTCATTATAATCAGTGAAATCAGTCACACAACACATAGCTATTGAAGTCATGCAACTATGTCCCTAGCTCACAAGGCAATTTCTCATCTCTGAAAAACTCAGTGAGTTCAGCTGGCTAGGTTATTCCTAGATTCTTCAAGTCCTGTACTTGAACATTAATTTAGGGCTACAGACAATTTAGTCTGATTCCCTCCCCCTCACCAGGACCTTTGTTCTAAGGTATATCCTCAACCTCTAAAATTTTCTTTTAACTTTATTTTTGAGACAAGATCTAAGTCTGAGCTAAATTGCTTGTACTTTGTATCCTCTTGCTGCAGGCTCCCAGAGTGCTGGGATTAGAGAAGTGTGCCATCACACCTGGCTAGTGATATCTTTTCAAAATGAGAAAATGAGAGATTTCTTGCTTTTCCTGCTCCTTGTATCTGCAAAATACTCCTTTTTACATCTTTATCCCAAAAGTTTTGAAAAGGTGGTGAAGCATTAGGGTAAAAGTATTTCTGCAACCATTACCAAACACCTCTGCACACATTCTTTTTCAACTCTCCTTAAAAAAGTGTGCTGGATCTTGGTGATTTCTCCTGTCAAAATGAAGCAGCCAACTAAAAGTAATTGTAATTTAAATTAGTTTTAAGGGTTTACTGTCCTTTGACTTAATATCAATGTCAAAGACCTCTACTATGCATTTCACTTAACAGTAAAAAACCAGTTGCCATTGGTCAACAGAGACCAAACAAGTCTTTGTCTTTCCTGTCTCTTTTCTCTTGCCTGGCTCCTTCCTCTGGATGCAGAACAATTCTCTTTCGCTCATCTGGCACCTGTTATTTTGCCAGTTCTTCTCTTTACTTGGTTATCCCAGCTTCCCAACCTTTCCATCAGCCCAGGTGGAAGCTGCTTCCCACAAATCTTCATCGCTGGAATCCACTGCAGCTCCGTTAAGCTGTGTACGATACAGACCTCGTTAACTACGCAGCAGTTTCCTAGATTCCACCTTTCTGAACCGCTTACGCCACACTCAAGGCTTGACTGAGAGCCCCGCGCAGGAGTCATCAGGAGCCCGCAGGCAGTCCCGGCCGGCCAGACTCGGAGCAGTAACCACGGTGGCAAATGAATCGAACTTCTGGAGCAGTCCGTAGCGTATCCAAGGCAACCAGACACGCACCTCCCGCGGCTCCCACGTTCTCCAAAAGTCACGGTACGCGAGGCCAAGATGGCGCCGTCCCCACTCGGCGGCAAAAGGGGCGGGGCCACGCGCATCACGTGACCTCCCGGCGGGCCGCGCGCCCCCGGCCGCCTCAGGCACGCGCCGGGAGCCGGGCAACCACCCGGCTGTAGTCTCAACCCAATGAGGGGCACCCTCCCTCGGCCCCGTGAGGTCATCAGGCTCTGTCCCTGCAGCCGAGGGGCCAGAGGGGTTTCCGGGAAGGGGATGCCAGACTGTGCAGAGGCAAAGCGGGCAGGAGGGGCTGCAGAAGGAGGCTTTGTGGGCGGAGGGTCCGAGCCCTCGGCGTCCGGGCTGACAGCCCACCACGCGCGGCGAGGCTGTGCAGACTCCGGTGTCGCGCCCAGGCCGTGGACGCAGACAGGTCTTGGGGGTCCCCTCTGAGCTCTGATCCCCCGGCTTGGGCATTTTGTGGGTTTCATAGCGTCTTCCTGCCTTGAAACCAGCAGGACTGACAAACGGCTTCAGCCACGCTGTCTTTGCCCCCAGTCCCGGGGACCCGAGAGGGGCGTCCAGCTCCTCTAGGGGCAGAGGGAAGCCGAGAGCTAGGAGGCGCCGGGAGCGGAGGGCGCTCTCCGGGACCGCCACACTCCCGCTTCTGTGTGTCCGCGTCAGCGGAGTGGGCTCTCCGCTCTGACCCCTGGCGGGGACCGCGACGCCCGGCGGGCTCCTACCGCACGCCTCCAGGGGGCGGCTGACAGGGACCCGGGAGGGGACGGGCGTGGGGCGCGGCCTCGCCTCCCTCGCACCCCGCCTCCCCGGCGGCGGGGCAGGCGATGTGGAGACGTGAAGGGACCCGCCGTCCGCCCCGGCTCTCCAGGGCTCCGCCAGCGCCCGCGCGTCCGTCCGCGCCCGGGGTGGGCGGCGAGCGGAGCCGGAGCCCCAGCCTCACCATGGGACACAACGAGAGCTGGTTCTCCGCGAACGCCAGCGAGTCTCGCAACACGTCGGGCGCCGCGGCGGCGGGCGCGAACCGCAGCGCGCTCGGGGAGCTGGGCGGCGAGGCGCAGATGTACCGCCAGTTCACCACCACCGTGCAGATCGTCATCTTCATAGGCTCGCTCCTCGGTAAGCCACCCGAGGGCACGGGCCCGGGGAGCTGCGATCCGGGCCGCTGGGCCGCTGTGGGTTGCGGGTGCCTGGCAGAAGGCACACAGCTGGAGGAGGAGCAGCTGCAGGGAAGGTGAGCGGGAACCGTGGACCCGGGCTGGAAGCCGCGGAGTTCCGATGGTCGGAGGACCGACGGTGCGGGGTCCGGCTGAGGTCACCCTCCGCGGACTGCTGGCGGGGCGCGGGTGGGCGAGGGGAGGAGCAGGTGGTCACGTCCTTCTTTACCTCCGGTGCCCGAATCGTGTTTACAAATAGAACAAAGGTTCCGTGGGATTTTGTTGTAAGGAACGAATGTTACATTCTATAGAAATGTGTTTTGGGCTCCTGTCTGTCCTATTACAAAACAACTGTTTTGAGAGAGACTTCTTTTGTGCGCTTTTTATCTTCATAACACCGATCCGGTGGGAAACAACCACGTGAAGTTAAACTTTGTGTTGCCTTCAGATGGTTTTAAAACCTTCAAATAAAACAAAATCCACTGTATTTCTCCATCTGGATTTTTTGAAGTACAGAATAAAGATAGTATAAAGCAAAACAAAACAAAACTCTAGTCTGTACACAACAGATTTTTTCTCTTGTCCAGGGAACAGATAGACTGAAATGAGTGGCTAGCAAAGCCTTATGTCCTCTCGTGTGAGAATTACCAGTACTTCTCACTACTTTTAAAGGATTCTTTTAGAGCTACAGTTTAATTGATAAGTGAGAGAGAGTGTTCATTTCGCTGAGGTTTGCCCAAACATAGTGCATATTAGTTACAAATACTATATGTGTAAATTCTCTGATGTAGCATTATAAGGCTATGAAAAGATTGTTTATGATTATATGTGACAGTGCGGGCAAGAGCTGTCTTTGTTTCAAAGTAGGAATATGATATTTTTCCTAATTTCCATAGAAACCAAGGTAACTGACACAAAAAGTCCATATTTGGAAGAATTTTAAATGTTTGGAATTTCCTTTCATATTTTTTTAAATTATGAACTTCCTGTTCTATTCTGCTGTAATACAGATTCTACTTTTTGTCACAAGGACATTTTCAGTAGACATCAGTGTGATTGCTTAGATGTATGTATTTTATGAGTGAATGTTAAATGTGTACATCAGTAAAACAAAAGCCTGTCTTCCAAATACTTTCAAACATTCATTTGTCAAACACTGAACATTTGATAGATAGTATAGGATGCATGAAGTTAAATTCCGGGCTTGCCAAGCTACAGTGTAGATTACTGGGGAGGGAGAAGAAATAGCTGTATTTTTACTTCTACAGGTTTTCCCCTGAAGAAATATGTAATAAGTGTGTCCATTAATGTGTATACAAGTTTTTTATAGATATAGATACATATCTGTATATCCATATCTGTAATGATACCTGTATTTTCCCTGCATTGGTAACTTTGAAGAAAGATGGTTTTGGAAAAAATTTTGTGGCTTGACTCTAAAAAAATTGAGTGAGATTGAAATACAAGACAGAGCATGTGTGTACAAGATGTGTAATAAATGTATCTTCTGCTTTCCATTTTCATTGCTTGTGTTCAACTTAGGAATTTATAGGTAAACCAGCCCTCCTTTCTGCTCTTTTCCACACAGCACTTTTGAGTGAGATGCAAAATCTGCTTTCGTAGATACCTCTGAAGAGGTGACTATTATCCCCTTGATTTTCAGTTATGCTTGAGTAGCTATAGGGGTGCATTTCTCCACCTTTCATAATACTATATGTGGGCTGCTTTAAGAGATATTTTCATTTGTTCTTTCTAATTTCAGAAAATACAAGCATAGATAGCATTTCTGGGGTCCTTGAATGCTTTGCTGAATCATAATATTGCCCTATGTACTTGTTAATGACTCGCATTCTTGATTCACTGTTCTCCAAGGACTCAATACATTCAAACATACATGGAGTTCTCCTGGTAGGCCAGTGGAGGGGCAGAGCTCAAGTTCCAAAGCCCTTAGCCAGCTGCAAGGCAAGTACACTTGGGAAGCATAGTTTGAAAGCCCCAAAGTAAAGTCATACAGTATAAATGTGGGGATGGGGGTAGGAGAAAGGTAATATTGTGGGAGGACAGAATTGTCTCTAGAACAAACAACTGGGTAAGTGATATAGTCTTCTTATTTCCTCTGTCCCTATGCACAGGCTAATGAATTTTCTTTTACTTTTTCCATTTAAACAAATGCAAACCTGCTTCCCACATTCTCTAAATAGATTGCCTTTTATTAGGCTTTTAGGGATTTATTATTATGTGAAAATAATTCCACTGTATTATTGATGTCTTGCAGCTCTTCTGAAAATTGTTTTAGTGCCCTTAACAGGGAAAGTCCTTAACAGCTTGGAAAGTATAATATTTGAGCCATAGGAAACATTGCTTTTTCTGTTGAAAATGAACTCAAGAATCATATATGATATTATCCCAATAATAAGCTTTTACAGGTTTCAAAATTGCAGTTTCCTCCTCTTCCTCTTCTCCTTTTCCTTCTTCTTCTTCTGTTAGAGACAATGTCTCACTATGTAGTTTAGGCTAGCTTTGAACTAGGTAGCCTTGGCTAGCTTCAAACTTGTGGTGATCCTCCTGCCTCAACCTCCTGAGTGCTGGAATTAGAGGTGTGTACGTGCCTGGCTTCTCAATCTTCTTTATGCAACATCTTGGGAAATCTTTAGGTATCAGAGAAATTTTAAAGAGTCAAATGATTTAGATTCCTCTTCAGTTAGTAGATGGCTTGCATCATGTTTAATAGTCAACAGTATAAAATCAAAGATGCAAAAAGTTTTGAAATCTTTGTTTCTAATAAATGCTTTAGATTGAACTCCACAGGTCTGATCTTTCTTTATTCCTTTCTCCTTGGATTCACAGTGAGAAAACTGGGGTCCTTTTTGGTGTTTTAATTTAAAAAGGTGATAGTTATGACCTAACCTATTACCACTAAGCTACTCCTTCTCAGAGTAGAGGCTTGTCATCTGTGCCTATCATTGAGGGCATAAAATATTTTTATAAGTGAGTTTGATATTGTTTAAAGAAAACTAGCACTGTGGACAGTAGCCAATATTTATGTATCCTACACTGAAATGTAAGAAAATGTTTTGAAATGCAGAAATCAGCTTTCCTTCCTCCTGCCCAACCACATTCTTCTTTTTACACCATATCCCCTCTGCCCATAGTAACAGGCAGAATATTTGTGCCCCACCCATTGATGTGTGATACCCCCAGTGTGATAGTACATCACATCATGGTGCGGTCCTTATGGTGGGCTCAATACCAGAGAGCTCTTTCTCTTTCTGTCATGTGTGGATAGCAGCAGGCAGACAGTTGTCTGAGAGTCAGAAAGAGGGCCTTTCCAAAAGCTGACTGTGCTGCACCTGATCTGGGACATCCTAGCTTCCAGAACTTAGGAATAATGTTGTTTAAGCCATCCAGACTATGGTGTTTTGTTATAGCTGCCTCAATAGACCAGTATACCCACAAATGGTCTGTAGTGAGCCATTGTGAAATGGATGACCCTAAATACAGTCCCGTTTATTTATAACTTGTTTCATAAGGTGGTGATTAAAGCATTCATTTCAAAAGAAACATGTAGGATGGGGGTGAAGACAGAGCTAGTGGCAAAGCTTTTGCCTAGCATGTGAGAGACTCTGAGTTTCATCCCCAGCACAGGAAAGAAAAAGGAAAGATGAGGGCTGATTTGTTGAATCTGCTCATCAGATGATGTAGATAAACAGCATCTTTGCGCATACTTATTTATAGTACTCCAGGAAATCATATGATATACCAGCAATGCTTGTCATGATCATTTGATAGAATACACTTGTGTCTTTGGTATGACTTGAAATTCACCGGGTAATTCTTGGAGTTTCTTAAATGTTTGCTAGAAGATATGTTAATACTAGTTTGCCCTTATAATTATAATTTACAATTATGCAGCTTCATTTTTAGTTAACCATAATTATAGGCAATAATAATGTAATATCATTAGTCTTACTTCTGTGTGCTGGTTCTGTTCTGGCATACCTAGAAGCCTAAATGGCAGGATGAATAGTTTACCTGAGTAGATGTGTCTAATATAGTGAATCTGAATTGCCTCCCATTGCCTTTGATTTCCATATGGTGAATGCATGCCAAACTTGCATCTAAATGAAATGCTGTTGGTAGCCCTGTGCATCTCCTTTATTGGCCTTTGTAAGTCTATCCTTCCACTTTTTAATTCCTGGAAATAAAATTCTCCTTTGAAAACCTTTTTAAAAAAAATAACAACTTTATTGAAATAAAATTAATGTACTATAGAATTCAGTCAAAGGGTACAACTCAACTGTTTTTCGTGTATTTACAGAGTTGTGCAAACATCATCGTTATGGAATTCCGGAATGCTTTAACCGCCCTACAAAGAAACATGTACCCATTAACAGTTGTTTCTGTTTCCCCCCAGTACCTTGAGCCATAATCAACTACTAAACTACTTTCTGCCTTTTCCTCCCTTTCTTTCTTTTCTTGCTATGTAGTTCAAGCTGGCCTCAAACTCACTACCTACCCCAAGCTGGTCTCAAACTTAGGGCAATCTGCCTGCCTCAACCTCCTGAGTGCTGGGATTACAGGTGTGTGCCACCACGCCCAGCTGCTTTCTGTCTCTATAGATTTGCCTATTCTACATGTTTTAATCAAGCATATTCTTAGGTTGCATTTATAACTTAGTTTCTTTCTTGTTAGAGGACCTGATGTATACAAGTTAAGGAGAGATTTATTTTAGCTTATGACTTGTAGAGGTGTCAGTCAGTAGTCAGCTGGCTTCAAGGCAGGGCAGCGTGGCAGAGGGGCATCACAGAGGAGAAGCAGTCCATGGTGTGGTAGGCAGGATGCAGCAGCCTTCTTTCTGCTTTCCCTTTTATTCCGTCCAGGCTAAAAGCCTATTGGTTGGTGCCACCCACACCTAGAGTGAGTCTTCCTTCTTCAGTAATCCATCACCCGCACTCAGAACCA